CAGAGTGGCATTCAGTCACCCCTCGGCTTACCCCGGGTGGTGGGGCCCAAGGCAAGAGAGGCTGAGTGGTACTATTGTCACAGGATCTGTGCAAAGGATGCTTGTGACGCTATCGCCCAAATCAGCGGTCGCACAATGACAAACGGTGAGGAAACAGTTCCTAGCTAAAGACTTGCGCCTAATTAGTCAGGAAAAAAAGAAAAGAAAAATCCCAGGCAAAGCAGAAGAAGACCAGGAGTTTCCAGGACAGTTTCCCAGGAACCTATCCTGGATAACACTACCATGATGGGCATGTGTCATTCATGACACATTTGCCCAAACCCACAGGAATAAATACCCAGACAGGGATTCGCTCCAGTGGATAGAAGGATGGAGGGGCTGGACTGCGCCAGTGCAGAGGATGATGGATGAGGACCGGGAGGCTATGCATATGTGAGGGAGGGGCAGGGGGAGACAATCCATACCCTCTGCTCTGCGTTGCTGCACCGTTAAAGCTGCACTTTCAAAAATGAGGATTTTTTTTTTCTTTTAAATCTCAAACAACCAGTTCTCAAATTCTCTCACTTGCCTATAACTGCTTACAAAAGAAAAAGACAGAGACAAAAAAAAAAAAAAAAAAAAAATGATGACTTGGGAAACACTCCCTAGGAGACTCATGGGTTTTCTCGTTTTCCCTTTCATTACTTACGAACCACCATTGGAAAGTCCCATTCACCAGAGGAACGTATCTGACAACGTCTATGAAACTCAAATATCACCAGGAAATAGTGGAGGAAATCCCCCTCAGAGAAGTGAGCCCGCTCTGTCCTGAGCTGGTCAAGTCTGTACTCTCCAGAGGCAGGCATGCATTAACAGACCACATAGCCATCACTCACCACAGTTACAGGACATTCTTCAGATGTCTCAAGAAACGCCGGCCCTCACTCTGACTTGCTAGGCTACATCAGGACTTTAAACAAAAGACTGTGACCACCACCGACACAGACTCAAGCTCCTCCCTGGGACAACACGTGTCTGATGACTGTGAGAACCCAGGCTCAGCACAGGGCTAATGTCACCCTCCTCCCAGCTTCTGTGCCGATCACCTGGGATTTCCCGCTACAAACGGTGGCTACAAACGGTGGCCGACTTTCAAAGAATAATAAAGGAGACTTGGATATGTTTTAAGCTGGGCGGTATGAGACTTCCTGTTAGAAGAAAATGACTCTTGCCATTGCGTTTCATGTTGCTTTGACAACTGTCACAGCCTCCCTGGATCCACCTGTGAGAGCCTAGGAGGCTGCAGAAGCATCCCCCCCCCCACATGAGAAACAAATGTCCCCAAAAAACGCAATGTAACACGAACCACCAGTGAAGCCCAACACCCGCTCCACCTACCTGGGAAAGCGTGTGGATTGGGGGACCCTCTCTTAAGGCACTTAGAACAGAGGATGTGCACAGTGTAGTGTAGTCCAGGCCATTCCTGAAGTAGGACATTCAGTTCCTCTACCAGAGGGGTGATGGCTTGCCATGCGGTCCATATATTTGGTAACGATGCGTGGCTAGCGATGGACAGGGTGTCCGGCTGCAGGACCCCCTTGGCAGGTCTGTAGCTCACCACCACTGGGACTTTCCCTCGATATGCAAAGATCTGAAACTTCCCATCCGACCTGTGCACCACATGGCTGTTGATCTGGACACTGTAGCGTGCAAACAATCCAGGTGGAAAGGTAAAGGGGAAACTATACTCGATCTGCAACTGTTCGGCCACAAAAGATTGCCCAGCTAGGTTGGTCCCATTGATCCAGGCCTCTGCGTGGGGCACCTCGTTCTGCACGTAGCATGGGAACTTGTACCAAGCTGTGGAGCCGTTCAAAGGCTTGCCTTTGGGTTTATTGAGGCAGTAACAGAGCCCCATCTTCTCCAATAGCTCCAGGAGAAGCTGCAAGTCCTGCTGGGCCTGGACATGAGGCTTAAGCAGCAGCCGGATGACATGGGCTGGCAGGAGCCCATGCAGCAGAAAGCCTTCCACATAATGATGAAGCTGGGTGGCCCGGAGTGGGTCCTGACCCGAGGTGGGCACTGCTATGGTGGGGAAACTCTCCCCGTCACCCTCGCCCTCTCCATTGGTCCCTAGGAGCAGCTTATGCAGCAGCAAAGAAGCATCCCTCTGGAAAAAGACATTGAGGATGTCAATGAGGCGGGTGAGGTTGTGGAAGACGTGCTCCTTGAGGGCCGGGCTATCCTCGAAATAGAGTAGCTTGCCGCTCTCGTGCAGGTAGGAAAGGGCACTCTGCAGTCGGTCCTCCGTCAGGCCCGCCTGCAGACCCAGGCGGGCCGAGTCCCACCAGCTTAGCCACAGTCGCTGTGCCTGAGGTGGCTGGAAGTGCAGTTCCTCGAGCACCTGCCAGGATCGAGGCAGGACTCTGTGTAAGTTGGGGAAGATCTCTCGGTGCTCAGCGACAGAGAGCAGCTTGTCGCGAAGGCGTTGCAATTGGTGGGGGTCCCTGCAGCTAACAGGCAACACGGGGGAGAGGATCTGCAGCCGGTGGTTGAGCAGGTACTGAAAATGGGCCTTGCGCCTCCGAAGGTTCTTGTCTGAAACACCATAGTAGGCTGCATGGGGGCTGGCAGAGCGCAGCTCAAAGTCCCGAGCCAGGGCCTCGTCCACCACCTTGGCTAGATGGCTTAGGCCCTCTGCATCGTGTTTCTCCTGTAGAGCGATCTGGCGGTGAATGTCCAGACACTTTTCCTCAAGCTCCCGCTCCCCGCACAGGTCCGCGTGGGTGCCCACAATGCACACCACAGCGTGAGGCACCCGGGCCCCCACCCGGTGCAAGAAGGTGCCCACAGCAGTAGGAAAGCAGCGAGGTTCATAGGTGGCCAAGTTGACCACCAGCACATACAGGGCTCCTGGGGAGAGGAAAAAAGGCTGTATCACCTCATAGCTTTCATCACCGGCTAAGTCATACACAATGAACCGCAGGCCCCGGGAAGCATCCGCAGTCCAGCTGGTCACCTCGATGCCCTTGCTCCCAAGGGGAGGGAAGAGTAGGTAGCTCTTCTCCTTGTCCCCTCCTCCTTGATCTCCCTCCACTTTGTCCTCAGTGAGGCAGTGCCGGAGCAGGGTCTTCCCTGCAGCCTTGTGGCCCATTAGGAGCAGCTTGAGGCGGGGCTGCACGGCTGGCTGGGAATGAGCCAATTCCTTCTGGTAGGCTGCGATGTAAGGGATCCCCTTCATGCAGACTTCGTAAGGGGGCTGAATCAGTGGGTTGTCCTTGATTTTCCACAAGCCTACCCGGGAGAGCTGGCCAAAGTTGTCGGGCAGAACAGCGATCTGGTTGCCCTGAAGCACCAGCTCCTCCAGGCCGGTCAGCTCCACAATGGAGTCTGGCAAGTAGCGGATGCGGTTATTATCCAGCCACAGGGTGAGAAGCCGGCCCAGCCCGGCGATCAGGGATGGCACTGAGGTGAGCTGGTTGCGACTAAGATAGAGCTCCTCCAGACCAGCCAGGGGCAGCAGCGCAGCAGGAAACTCCTCAAAGAGGTTGGAAGAGAGGTTGAGCATCTTGAGTCTTTGCAGGCGGCTGAATTCGGGGGGCAGAGCCTGCAGCCCGTTGTTGTCTAACATGAGGCTTTCTAAACTGGCCAGCTCACAGAAGCCGCTGGGCAAGGTGCCAAGCTCGGCCCCACTAAGCCAGAGAATCTTGAGGGCACGCAGGGCACTGATATCCTCAGGTAGGCCTCGCAGCCGGTTGCTGGATACGTCCAGCTCCTCCAGGGCAGTCAGCTGCAACAGCTGCCTGGGAAAGGCGGTGAGTTGGTTGTGGTCCACGTCGAGGGTGCGCAGGTGGTTGAGGCAGGAGAAGGAATCTGGCAGATGCGCTAGCCGGTTGAAGCTGACATCCAGCTCCTCCAGGTGGGCGAGGGCACCCAGTTGGACAGGCAGAGCTGGCAGCTGGTTGTGGCTCAAGTTGAGTTTGCGCAGCTCCCTTAGGGCGCTCACCACCTCGGCACCCAGGACTGTCAGCCGGTTGTGGCTCACGTCCAGCTCCGTAAGGTGATGGCCTAGCTCCGCCACCGCAGGGGGCAGCCGGGCAAAGCGGTTCCTGCGCAAGACCAAGACGCGAAGGCTGCCCAGAGCCGACCCCAGACCTTCAGGCACATCCTCCAGGCCGTTGTTCCCCAGGTTCAGCACCTCAATGTCCCCGATGTTGGCCGGCAGCACCAGCTGGGGGGCGTCTGGGGAGTCGAGTGCGTCGCCTCCGGCCCCTGGGCAGCTGAGTGTGAGCTGGCGCAGGTTGCTCCGCAGCTTCCTGGCGCGCAGGGCGGCGTCCCGCCACAGTCTCACCGTCTTCAGGTTGCCACAGTCCTTGTCAGCCATGGCGGGGCCCCGCGCCGACAACCCTCACGCCGGCACCGGAGCCCGCAGCTGCATGCCGCGCTGCACCCCAGCCGGCGCCCG